TGCCAGACATTCGAGGCATGGTTTTTGGAGAGATGTGAGACTGATCCAAACAGCCCTCTCTCTCTCTGTGTGTCCATATTTCTGAAGGAGAAGAGGAGGTGTGGGCAGCCAAGGAGAGTCTGAGCGCGCCAAGCAGATCATTATGTGTTCTTGGAAGCAGGTTTGATACACTGGCGCTGAGCTGAGCTGGGAACGGGCTCTGAGGCCCTCAGCCGGGACGTGGCTCAGGCCGGGATTTCATCTCCAGTTCTAACAAGTGGCGACGCCTTATGGAAACTTTTGAAAGCTGTTCTGTTTCAGACCAGCCAGCTTGTACTTCATCTGGCTGCTCTCACCCTGTCTCCCTTCAATTTGGGAGCACAAGAAGAGGGGAAATTAAAATCACTAAGTGCCTACTATGTGCCAGTAACCAAGTCAGCAATTTCACGGTCCTGAGAAACCTTCATTGCCCTTCAAGGAGGAGACAGGGAGGCCCATGCAGCCCCAGAGTGGCAGAGAGCAGGGAGGCTGAGGCAGCCCTACCTCACAGCCTGTGCTCCTTCCAGATGTGACGACCTGCTCTCCACTGGGCCATTGATGCTGCGCATGTCAACCCTAACCCAAAGCCAAAATTCCCATTGCAACAGGATGCACATTCCCATGACAAAGGAACACTGTATTCCCTAGAGAAGATTCAAGGCCCTGCTCCTGCAGAGGACATGTAGGCTTGAGAAACAACACTGGGCTGACGCCCTGGACCCAGGCCCTCGAGGGCCAGCCACTGGGCTCTGCATTGCCCATGCAGGCAGACAGAGTAACAGAGAGCCACGTGGGGAATTGAGTCTAACCTTTACTATGCAGCAAGCTGCTCATTTTCTGGGTCTCTGCATCCTGCAAACATCACAATGAGGTGAGCTTGCGCTGGAAAATGCAGAGACCAACACACACGCGAGAAACAATTCCTATGTTGCTTTTCACGGCCTTGATTTATCTGTAAATGGGAATATTGTCTGCATACAAAAGGGAGTCAAGTGTGGAGAATAAAGTGCCTTTTTGAAGAGTACCCCAGAAAGAACTTCCCTTATACAGTAATAATAATAATAAAGGGATTTTTAGGTGTCAGGCTTTCTGCTGGGTGGTACAAATGCAGAAATTAACAAGCTAATGGCCCCTGTTCATAAAGGGATTATGATGTAGACACATTTTTTTAATCAAAAGAAATATAAAAATTTTTGAAGTCTTGTGGTTAGAAAATAATTTCTGAATATACCTCAACTCCTACCTGTATATTTCAGCGCCATCACTTAAAAGAACGCTATAATTCCTTGATTATGTGATATATATTATTTTCATATTTTAACATTTCTAAAATCAGGATGCATCTTGTAATTATGGATGGAGGCATTTTCTTCTTCTTAATAATGTATAAAATAGTGCTAAGAGCTGATAACCTCTTAGATTCTCTGAAATGTGTTTAGGAAAAAAAAGTTTATCATTACCGCCTTTCAACTAGACTTTTAATAGATTTCATAGCCACTGAATTTGACACAAAGCCTTTTCAGAACATTTCTAGTTCATCCAGATGGATGGTGTCATGCATACTCTGTGTCTAGATATCTGATTTCCAGTGCTTACTATTCATATGGTTGGTTGGCTTGGAGGGAAATTTTTACCACGGGCCAGGGATGCTGTATCACCTCTTGGCCACCAGAGGGAGAGAGTGCATCGGCAAGGAACAGGTTCTCGGGCTTGTCAGATTTCACTGTCCCCTAAACCTTTCCAGCATGCCCCCTCCATGGCAGCATGCCCACCCCTTACTGAAACCCTATCTACAGGCTCAGAATACAAGGAAAGGCCTCCATTCTGGAGCGATGGCAGCATCAGGGTTAGTTAGATCTGAATGACAGTTGCAGACCTACACAAAAATTCACAATGGCCTAAGGAGCTCCTCCTGGGAATGAGAATGATGCTAGACACAACAGGGGTTCTCCCTGCAGAAAACGCACAGCTGGTGGGTGGTCCTACACTTTTCTGAAGACACTGGAAACTCCTGAGACCCACAGGGATTTATGAAGTTATCTAGGAAAGAGTTCCCTATCTAGCGGTCAGCTGTAGCCTTGCTCACAATCAACCCCTCCCTCCCTCTCTTCCTTCCACATTTATTTACTGAGCCTTTACTACATGCCAGGCACTGTGCTAGGAGCTGGGGATGCAGCAATAGACAGAACAGAGGAGGCCACCGTCCTCATGAAACTGAAGTTCTGGTGAGGAGATAGAAACTATACAAATAAGCATACAAATCTGCTATAAGGAAAAGTCCCTGGTCCCATGAGAGTATGTGACAGGAGAACATGGCAGGAGGATCTGCGAAGATTTATTAGCAAGTGATCATTGAGACAAAACCTGGAGGAAGCGTAGGGGTGGACCAGAAAGAGTGAGGGAAGGGTCTTCGGACAAATGGACCTGCACTTGCAGAGGCCCTGGGTGGAAAGTGTTCAACACTTTGCAAGCACTAAGAGGAGGCCAGCACGGGGCCCGGACTTATGGATCCAGAGAGCAAGTGACTCACTAAAGCACAGCGGGAGCTCAGAGCCTGGCATACCCTGCCAAAGACGTGGGTTTCCATCTGAAACCATTGATGGGTTTTAAGCAGGCATCCAACATGAGTGGATTTGAATATTAATATGACAGCTCTTCCCTGCGGGGCATGGCCTGGAGGAGAAACCTGGGGAAAAAGTGGGGATATCCAAATGAGAGTCATTGAAGAAGTGGTAGGAGGTGACGGTGGCTAACTGGTGACTATGAACGTGAAGGTAGATTTTAGAGACAGGATTGTTGAATTTGGAGAGTAAGGAGAAGGGAGTGCTAAGTGTGACTCCTGAGTGTTCTGAAGGAATGGTTTGGAAAGAGGAGATGATTTTTCCTAGGATGGTCATCTGTGAGGGAGGATAGGATTTGGGAAGACAACATTGTGAGAATTGTTTTGGCAAAGTAACTTCAAGATACTTCTGGAACATCTACGTGCAAGTGTAAAGTAGTCAATTAAATCTATTAATCCAGTGCTCAAAACTGGGCTGGAGATGTGAGATTTGAGAGTCATCGGCATGGAGATGGAATACAAAGCCACAGCGAGAGCTGACGTCACCTGGGAGGGAGCACCAGGGCTCAGAAGATGGTCTGGAACAGGGGTCTGCAAAATGCCCATTACACAAGGAAGAGCTGCCAAAGAGAGTGTGAAGGAGCAGCGAGAGGGGATTAGGCGTAAAGGCCAGAGAGTGTGTCACGGAGGGGCGATCAGCTCTCAGAACCCCACCCAGCAGCCTGGTGGGAGGAAAGTGGACTTGCCATGGAGGCCTTAGAGACCACAGCAATGGCAGCTGTAGCAGAAAAGAGACTGAGCTGGGCTGTGGAGAGACAGGGAAGCACCCAATGTTCAGCTGAGGATGGCAATCCCACTTACAGTGAAAGCGGTCTACTCAGTTATCACCGTTGTTCCCTAGCCATGTTCAGCAGTTTGGTGAAAGCATGGGAAAGTTAGACATTTGGGTTTATCCTGGCTGGAATTTCACCATACAAGCATGAAGGAGGGAAAGGGGAGCAAGGAAGTTACATTAGCGGCCATGAATTTAAATTGGTCAAGGAAGGAAGGCAAGGCAGGTGGCGGTGGGAGCTGAAGGGCTATGAGAAGGGGCGCGTTAGCAGGTGAGCTAGAGGTACAGGAGGAAGTGGCCAGAGGAGAGATCTGACTTTTGAGATTTCTAGTGTGTGTGATATTAAGCCCTTGCTGGGGCTGTGGAAATCGGTGACTGAAAAGGGGAGGTGAAAATGTCCACCGGAGGTGAGGTGGACAAGGACCTGAGAAGCCAGAGAATAGGATGATGAGTTATCTGCCTGGATATTGAAGCTGCCTAAAGTTCTGGAGTGGGCATAAAGATGATTGGAGCAACTCAAGTCTTCATTGAATGAGAGAGTGAGCAGTCAGCAACACAGCAGTGAGCAGTTGGAGAGGATGGTATGCCTATTAAGCCTCAAAGAAAGGTTTCCACACAAGCAAGGTGAGTGGTGGTCAGAAGAAACGATGGAGAGAGAATTCCTCTCATTAGGAGTAGGAGAGGTCATAGCCCAGCGAAATGGAATCAATGCAAAATTAGAAAAGGGACTTTATCCCCTTTTGAAGGGAACCCTGCAGTCTTTGAGTGGTATCCGGAATAATGAACGTAAGGAATGGCAGCACACATGTTAAGGATCTGTGATCCCTGCCCTGAGGGAGACACCCTACACTCAGGAAACGCAGCATGGAGTAAGGAGCACGGGGAAGCTCTAGATCATGTGGAGAGGAGACTGCATGCAGCTCCAAACCACCTCTCAAATCAATAAAAAGACATAACTGAGCTGGAGGAGGCTGAAGAAGAATGGCACAAATGGCTGCATGAGAAGGAGAGAGTACAGCACACTCAAGGGGCAGCCAGGAAAAACCAGGAAACCGAGGACCTTGGGCAAAGGATGTTCCAAAAGCAAGTCATGGCATAAGCCCTGACCCTAGTGGTACAGGGACAGGAGCCCCATGTGGAAGGGAAACTCCTTCAGCTGGAATGCACACAGCTTGCAGAAGAATAGACCAGCGCTTCCTTCTGTTTCTGGGGAAGGGACAGAGGGAAGGGGCTGGAAAGGGAGGAGGAAAGAAGGAAGACTGGAGATCAATCAGAAGCAATGTAGTCTCCATGGAAATTCAGAAAGAGTTTCTGTTAGACACCCCCCCACACACTTCCAATCAGTACTGGATCTATGTGTACGTATCAAGAGGAAAATACATGTACCACTAAGTACCACAACAGGATGGCACAACAGGCAATACGAAAGGCAGAGGAAAAGCACTTAGTGATCAAGAACAAAAGACAGACTTCCATTCTAACTTAGTGGTCAGGGATATTTGGAAAAGTAATGAGGTAGAGAAATGGCCTCAACTCTTTCTGGCAGGACAAGCTATAGAAACAGTAGGTCCCACCTGTGTCACTGTCCAACCCCAGGACAGACCTGAGGTCTGAGTGCAGCCTCAGCCAGGTTCCTCTGGGCCCCATTCTTATTCAATAGCTCTTTCCCTCTCCTTCTGTCCAGTTCATTAATAGAAGAGCAGCTGCGTCCTGAAGGAATGTCTGACGCCCACAGCAGCCCTCTCGGGCTGGAGCCACTTTCCAGCAGATACAAACTCTATGAGGCAGAGTTCACCAGCCCAAGCTGGCCCCCAAGCTCCCCAGATACTCACCCAGCTCTGCCTCTCCTGGAAATGCCTGAAGAAAAGGTGAGGAGTGTCTCTCCCAGGATGTTCCCCGGGAGGGAAGGGATGGGAAAAGGTGGGTAAAAGATGCTGCTCTCCCGACTTCCCAATGAACTTAGCACAGTGAGGAAGTGCCTCTGCCCAGGGAGAATCTGCCCCAGTCAGTACATGCTGACACCTATGGTGGGTCCTACCTGGCCTTAGATGGAAAATGTAGCTTTTGTGAGACATGGTTTTAAGTACAAGTAGAGAATACAGGCACTCACTCACCAGTCTTCCAACCATTCTCCAAAATCTTTCCCCTTAAATCTGCTCCCATGAACTACCCTACTGTCTCCAAAAGAAAGGCCTTTGTTGAAACACAGGCTGTTAGCATCCTCGGCAGTAACACAGAGGTAGACTGGCTGGATGCTGAGGGACAGTGCAGAGGTACTCAAGACTGCTGGGATGGCCTTGAGGAGCTGCCCTGACTTACAGTGAGGAGGTCCCATATATTCACTCATCACTACTTTGAAATTACAGAAGGTGGCCGGGTGCAGTGGCTCACACCTGTACTCCCAGCACTTTGGGAGGCCGAGGTGGGAGGATCACCTGAGGTTGGGAGTTCAAGACCAGCCTGACCGACATGGAAAAACCCCATCTCTACTAAAAATACAAAATTAGCCGGGTGTGGTGGCACATGCCTGTAATCCCAGCTCCTCGGAGGCTGAGGCAGGAGAATCACTTGAACCTAGGAGGCGGAGGTTGTACTAAAAATACAAAAATTACCCAAGCATGGTGGCACCTGCCTGTAATCCCACCTACTCAGGAGGCTGAGGCAGGTGAACCGCTTGAACCCAGGAGGTAGAGATTGCGGTGAGCTGAGATCGTGCCATTGTACTCCAGCCTGGGTGACAAGAGCGAAAGCCTGTCTCAAAAAAATAAAAGGAATTACAGAAGGTATTGGATCTGCTGTACATACATGTATATCACAATTTTTAGTATGATTATAACTGCATTTCAGCATAATTGGTTTGGTTTGTAGTCATATTTATCTTACCTTTGCATTTACAAACATTATTCTGGAAAGAAGCTCATGGGCTTTGCCAAACTGCCAAAAGGGACCCATGGCACCAAGGTGAAGAAAAGCAGCTATGGAGAAGGTGCGTGGTCCTGGGAAGAGCAGGCTTCACGGGGCACTCTATGCGGCCGTAGACAATGGGCGTGTGTTTCACTCTTTGTCTCATAATACTTTATTTTTTTCAAAACACCTGCCACCCTTCTCTATCCCCAAATGCCCCTGCTCTCAGAAAGCTGTATCATTTGATGTCTTGTTGGTTTCTCCTAAAAGGATCTCCGGTCTTCCAATGAAGACAGCCACATTGTGAAGATTGAAAAGCCCAGTGAAAGGAGTAAAAGGAAAGAAAGCGAGGTCGCCCATCGGGACTCTGCAGGCCAGGGGGGCATCCGCCTCTCCCAAGCAGTGGGCTACCTCACGGGTGACATGAAGGAGTGTGGAAGCTGGCTGAAAGGTAGGAAAATACCCTAAGGAGGGGCAGCCGGACCAGGCCAGGCCGGGGAAACACCCCTCTCTCCAATTTGGTCCAGAGCTGCTCCCTCACTCATTCACCTTCACCCTGGGTAGATTCACCCAGGACTGGACCTCACCCAGGGCTGGGCTGCAGTCCACAGCTGGGGGGACTTCAGCCCTGAGCTGACTCCAGGCAGATATGATATACCCTACTGGCCTGGAATTCTCATGGTTTCAGAATTAAATGCATTGATCTTAGTTCTTTGCAAAGTGCTCATTCCTATATTAGATAGATATAGGACAACCATATTAGCAACATATAAGCCATTTCCCAAGCTGGCTGAATGATCATTCCTTCACTTAAGCCACTTGTTCCACAGCCCATGTGCCTACTACGTGCCAAAAAAATATTGGCATCATCCTTCCCAAAGCTCCAGGATTCTTTCCTTTAAACTTCTTCTGGAACTAAATACTGAAAGAGATACCACACTCTTCCCCTCCCATTAGCCCGGTCACCTGCACAAGTTGTCTTGGAAACCAAAGCAGCAAACGAGGCGGAACGTCTGCCTCCCTCCTATACCTGGCTTCCCCCAGGCTCTGACTCAGTACTGGCTTTCACAGCAGGGCTAGAACAATTTCTTCCCCAGTGTCTTTTCTTCAGGCTACTTCCTTTGCTGCTCAGATACCAGCCCTCCACTGAGTCATCCAGCACTACAGAAAAAAAGAGTTTCCTGCCCTCCCCCACCACCTTCCCCACCTTTTGTTTTGGATCAGTAAATTTCCCTTGGAATGCTCCTGAGGCTTCTTTTCCAACCAAGCCAATGGCTGGAACAGCGTTAAATTGGTCTCAGCACGGTGCCTCTGTCTATATAGTAAAAACTACCACCCACTGCAGAATAAATTGCTGGGCCACTGAGAGATGGGCTGGGCACCAGCCTCCCCGCCACCCCTCACCGCTCCCCCCAACCCCTGGCCTGGCTAAATGGGAAGTGTCCTGGCTTAAGCATCCCTGTTTGCCTTGGTTGCCATGCCAACCAGCAGTTCAGCAGAACAGCCCAGCCTGGACCTGCCGATGGCTCTCTCTCTCTCTCTTTCAGACAAGCACCTCGCCCTCCAGTTCATAGACTGGGTCCTGAGGGGGACCGCTCAGGTGATGTTTGTCAACAATCCACTCAGCGGCCTCATCATCTTCATAGGGCTACTGATCCAGAATCCCTGGTGGACAATCACTGGTGCCTTGGGGACAGTGGTCTCAACCCTAACAGCTCTCGCCTTGAGCCAAGACAGGTGGGTCCCTCTCTATAGGGATCTTAGCAAGATGTGTGGGACAGAAAGAAGAGAGGTGTTTACTTGAGTAATCAGCAACCTTACCCTCTCAGCTGCCCAAAGTCTCCTGAGCATCAACTTTGAGCAGGTCATTACGGTCCTTGAAGAATTGCACTGCTCCTGCTCACAGCGTGTGACAGTGCCAAGCTTCATTTGACTGTGGAGACTTCTGCAAACACTGCCTCACAGTGGTGCAGAGGAACAGCTAAGCTGTTCTTCCCTCACACAGCCTACCATCTAGTTGAAGGAGACAAGATTAACAAGCAATGAATGTCTCAGAATAACACAGGACAGTATATAATTTAGTTCAGGGAAGACAGACATCACCAAGTGTTAGGAAGATTAGAGAGGTTACCTCTGAGTTAGAAAGCTTGGGTATGGGGGATGGGAGAGAAGGCAAGAAGAGAGAGGAGGACAGTGTGAGAGGGGGCACTGAAGAAGGAGAGCAAACAGGGCCAGCAGGAGGCATAGAACACAGGTGTGGAGCCAGAAGCTGGCCTCACACTGGCTGGAAATCAAGTAACAATAACAAGGGCGGGGCACAGTGGCTCACGCCTATAATCTTAGCACTTTGGGAGGCTGAGGCAGGCAAGTCACTTGAGGCCAAGAGTTTGAGACCAGCCTAGCCAACATGGTGAAAACCTGTCTCTACTAAAAATATAAAAATTAGGTGTGTGTCACGGCGCACCCCTGTAATCGCAGCGACTCGGGAGGCTGAGGATCTCTTGAACCTGGGAGGCAGAGGTTGCAGTGAGCTGAGATCTCGTCACTGCACTTCAGCTTGGGATGGGGGGTGGGTAGAGAGAGAGAAAGAGAGAGGAAGGAAGGAAGGATGGATGGACGGATGAGAGGGAGGGAAGGAGGGAGAGAAGGAAAAAGAAAGAAAAGAAAGGGAAGGGAAGGGAAAAGAAAGAGAACAAAACAACTTGCATTTTATAGAATTTGACCACTTCCTCCAACTTTGCTGCATATTATTCCAGTGGTTCCCAAACTTTCCTGATGGTCAGAATCACTTAAGATGGTTGTTAATAAATAGTTTCCACCCCACCCCTCCCCGTTCCTCTCATAGCTATGCCAATTCAGTAGATCCTGGAGTGTGTACTTTTAACAAGGTCTTCCTAGATGCTTCCAGTGGTCAGAGAAGTTTGGAAAACACTGGATTATCCCCTATCTTAGTGTTTTTCCATTTTGGGGTCACCAACCCATTTGCAGATCATGAATTAATTGCCAGCAGCGGTTTTTAAGTTAAAACAATATCATAAAATGAAACCAGTGAGAGTAATCTATATATGGTAATGGTAAATATTACTTGGTGAAATTTTTGTTTCATTTATGTTGGTGTTGTGTATGTGAGAGAGAGAGAAAGAAAGAAAGTGAAAGCTATGTCATAATATAAAATGCATTTCTTACAGTGGGTTTCTCTCAAAAAAAAAAAAAAAAAAAGCCTGTGAAGCACTGTCATATTTTGTTAACTGTGACTCTTCCCACTACTTCACAACACTGTAAAGGCAATAGTATGCATCTTGCAAGTGAGGGAAAGGAGACTGGAAGGGGAGTGATACCTACCAAAGGTGCCACAGTCGGTGGGTGGCAGGACTTAGACTTGGAGGCATGACCTGCGTCTTCTGGGCTCAAGGTCGTGCTGTCCCCATCATGGCACCTGTGAGGACAACATGGCCAGAGGTCCGTCGGTGAACCTGAAGTAATCAGGGCTGGATGCACTGTCACCAACCTCAGGCCCAGCTGACATTCCTCATTCCACAGAGGAAAATGCATGAGTCAGCCTGGCCCTGGTGAGAAGCCGCTCCTGCGCCTCTAGGGTGGCGTTGGGGGACCACTCAGACTCTAGCATGCTAGAAGGTCATTCGAGGTCAGATGAATGAGAGGCTTAAAGCTTTTTCGTGCAGACTGGTGGATGAGATGGAAAATGGGCTTTAGCTAGGACCTTGTGTCTGCTTTGGTTAGCGGGCCTCCTATTCCTTCTTCCATGTACCTGTTGACCATGAGTAGCTGGCACAGAACTGAGCCCTGGCAGATCAACCTCTGCCTCACTGCTTCATCAAAGCGTGCTGAAATTTACCTGGAGTAAATTTACCTGCCTTCTTAGCTGTGTGACTCAGGCAGGCACTTCCCCCTCCAGCCCCATTATCCTCAACTGTATAATCTACTGTCCAGTGAGATGAGCCCAAGACCCTCCCTGCACGGATGCTCTGATTCTTTGATGATCCTCCCCACCATTAATCTACTGGTAAACTTGCCAAGCCATTCAGAGAGTCGCATCACAGACTTTAGTTTTACAAGGGGGGACACACAACAGGCATGCCTAATCCTCACAAACACCCTGATCAAAAATTTAAGACAAATATGCATCAGATAAAAACCCAGCCCCTCGGCTGGGCTTCCCAAGTTTCATTTGATGGGTCCCACACTACCTAGTGCTCACTCAGCATCACACTTGTCCCTAGTTAAGTACTTTTGCTTCTGTCCCTGATACCAGCCATACCTCTGCCCATCTAATTCTACCACTCCCTGGAATCCTTCCTCCCCTAGGGAGCCACTCCTGACTCTCTCCATGCTCTCTGAACCCTTCTTCTCTCTGAACAATCACAGAACACATCCTGGTACTAGATTGAATTGTTCTCTAATTTTCTCTGATTCTTCTTTCTCTGGCTATATGCTAAGCATGTTCAGAAGAAGAAGTTGGTTTTCAATGTTCCATATATGCCCACAGTGCCTAGGAAAGATCTAGGCTTTGTTCCTGACAGGTCAGTGCCTTTTCTATGCCATAGGCTCAAAGCTGTAGCCACCGGACACATCATCCACACACACGTCTTCTAAGGAGCCAGAAGCTCACTGCTGTCTACAGTGAACCACTGACACAGCTGCATATTCTAACCATGACCTCCACCACCCCCACTACCCTTTAATCACCCCCGCTGTCCCCACCACCTTTTCCCACTAGCCCGACACTGTACTTTACAGATGGTAACTGAAGGTCAACACCAACGCTGCAGTGTTCTGATGTAATGTGGTCTTAATGAAGACCTTTATGGCATTGGAGTTGAACTCAATTTTGTTATAGTCAGGGAGGGAATATAAGGAAATGGGTTTCTCTTTGACAACCAAATCCAGAACCCACCAAAATTTTAGTAAAAACAAGAGTTCTGGAAGGACACTTTCCACAGGGTGGGGCAGCTATTGGTATTAAAACAAAAAGCACTAAATTCTATCCCCAGACACAGATGGGAAAATGTAGAGAAAACGTGAACACACTAAAAATAATAGATGAAATTATGAAAAGCATGGATTTCTGCTCCTGAAGTGATCCCCAATGGTCTTCTCTGCCACCTCCATCCACCCCACCTACTGCCTGTCTCCAGCTGCCCCCAGATCTTCCTGGCCTCAGGAGCAGCTGAGGACACAGCTTGTCCTGTGTCCACACATGTGCCTTGTGCTGCAGCTTTCTTGCAGGAAGCTGCCTAGATATGCTCTCTGCTGCCCCTTTCCTGCCCTCCTGCTCTCCTCTTATCTAGGTCACTAGGCTTCCTGGTCACTACAGAGGTGAAAGGTTCTCCCCCTAGCAGACCTAAGCCACAGCCTCTGCCAGGTTGGAGCCCTCTTCTAACCAGAATTCCCTTCTTGCATCTCAGGGAAGCTTCCAGAAGCTTCTGCCATGCAAGAATAGCCAATACATGATAAAGTTTAGCATGCCCACATGTTCATTCAACAAATACTGGCTGGGCATCCTCCATGCACAGATACTCTTGACATTGCTGGGTTACTGGGCCACAGCAACAGACATGCAGACATACTTCACCCCTCTGAGAACTAAGGCAGGTGCAGAGGGGCTGAGGGACTGACCACAAGCACACACAGGTCATTCCTTGGCAGGGGTCTTACAGCACAAGCTGCCCACACCCCTCCCTCTCTCACCCACAGCCCATGCCCCTTGTCCAGCAGAGCAATTAGAAAGGTCAAGGACAGAGTTTATTAGGATCAGGAGGAGAAGTATAGATGCATATCAGCTTCTCCTCTGGAAAAGAGAGAGGCACTACATTCATGCTTAGGTTCTACCATACTTCTGGGCTGCTCCTCACCAAGGGGCACCTAGGAAACCAAAGCTAAACCAGCTCATTCACTCTGGTACAGACATGCAGAGAGGGAAAGTACCCAGACTCCAACTACAAAGAATTGTTTTTTCGTTTGTTTGGTTTTTGTTTTTTTGAGACAGAGTCTTGCTCAGTCACCCAGGCTGGAGTGCAATGGTGAGATCTTGGGTTACTGCAGCCTCAGTCTGCTGGGCTCAAGTGATCCACCCACCTCAGCTTCCCAAGTAGCTGGGACTACAGGCATATACTACCATGCCTGTATTTTTAGTAGAGATGGGGTTTCACCATGTTGCCCAGGCTGGTTAACTCCTGGGCTCAAGCCATTCCCCCACCTTGTACTCCCAAAGTGCAGGGATTACAGGCATGAGCCACTGTGCCTGGCCACCTACAGAGAATTTTACACAATGTAATCACAACACTCTTTCTCCTTCCCTCTCTTCTCTCTCCCTTCCTCTTCCCTACTCCCACACACAACTTCCTTGTGTCACACCTCAGGTTTCTATTATATTTCCCTCCATACTTAGCAGTCTAAGTCTCCCCTGATAGCAAAAAAGAGTTTAGCCACAGACAAAGTGCATAATTTTAATTGTTAATCAGAAAGACAAAGGTATGTGGGGTGTGTGTGTGTGTGTGTGTGTGTGTGTGTTTTAGCATCAGGAAAGGTGCTGGCAGCTATGTGGCTGCCCAGTATTCGTTGAGTGAACTGACTGTTTTTCGAAGCTTTATTATTAAAGGCATCATCTAAAGGAAGCATATCCTCAGAGCACCAGGAGGGAGCGGCCCAGTAAGCACCAGCAACTTCAAACACAAAGTCACTCTGTTTCACCGCCAGGTCTGCCATTGCCTCAGGACTCCATGGGTACAATGGGATGCTGGTGGGACTGCTGATGGCTGTGTTCTCAGAGAAGTTAGACTACTACTGGTGGCTTCTGTTTCCTGTGACTTTCACAGCCATGGCCTGGTGAGGCACCTCATTTTTTCTGCTCACAGCTCCATGGGGCACCAGGGCACTTGTGTCTTACACTGGCCAGAGATAGGACATGCACATGTGGGGCCCAGCCTCTTCATTGCCACGTTAGCTTGTCTGACACCATGAAAGCCCATGACTTCTTCTGTCATTTGGGGATGTAGAACTAGGAGGATGCTTTAAAGCAACAAAAGACAACATGTTTTTATTGCAGCGATCATCTTCCTGAATGACATTCTTAGTAATAATGGTCAGCAGTTCCGAAGTTATTCCTACGTGCTCAGCACAGCGCTAAGCAAGGCTTACATAGTGCTAAGTACAGTTACATTTGCCCACAGTTTACAGAAAGGAAGACCAAGGCATGCAGAGATTAAGTCACTTGCCCAGGTTGTACTTTGTGAAAGCGTTTGATGCTGGCATTCCAAATCCAATCTGCACTATTAAACCCCAGGTTGCATGGGAATCATCTATTATGTAGCCTAACCAAGACCTAAAAGCTGAAAACCTACTTGTGGTAGAAGCAGAGAGCTTCCTTGGAACACAATATTTACATGTAAAGAATAGAATCTTTGAACTGGAAGTATCGGTTGAGACCTTGCAGGGCAGTCACCTCATATTATAGATGAAATAGGAAGGTCAAGATAAAAGGGAGTTAGGAACAAATATTCCCCAAGTGAAGGGTGTGCTCGGCCATTCACACATGCGATCCTTAGTTCATGTGAATCTACAGCAGGTCTGTCGAGCATCTTGGGGTCTCTGCAGTGTGCTCACTGTCTTGGTGAACATTTGTTCGCCAGGCCCTGACTTCACATGTGTAAACCACCCCATTCTCAACTCCCCTCAAACAGTGTGATTTATTCCCATTCTCAGCAATAAATCAGACATGACAATTTATTTTTAATGTCTCTAAAAAGTAAAGGTCTTTCTTTGGTTTCAAAGTCTGCAGTTACTAAAACAAGTTAGTTTAATTTAGCTTAAGTACTGTTTTATTACATTTTAGTAGTGCTTGCAAATAAATTACTGCATTAAACATTCTGGGCAATTTAGTTTCTTCTTAGGGTTTCTTTCTTAATCTATTGGGACAAAAAGCCAAGACAGTCATTTCTATGGGGATTTTCTTAATGCATCCCATGTTCCTGCCTGTGAGAAAAAGAACTAGCCTTCATTTGCCTACATTTGGTTTATAACTGCATAGATTAAGCCCCTCAGCACAGCTCCACATGGCACTGGGTAGCAGTTAGACATCAATGCCTCCCATCTCACTTCCCAATTTAAAGGACAAAAAGCACTGAGCACCCCACTCTGGGCTCTGTGCTACTACTCCAGTGCATTCGTTAATCCGTTTATGTGGACCCTGAAATTCAAGTCATAGGGTAGGCATTAGTAGTGGCATTTTCCAGATTCATTCAATAAACAAATATTTGTTGAGTGCCTGAAACTATTTGTTGAGTGAAAGGTCAATCCTAGATCCTGGGAATATTTGTAAACAAGGACAAGTCTCTATCCCCTTGGAGCTTACATTCTTCTTGACTAAGACAGAAATAAACGCAAAAACTAGTTAATAAAAGGGATCATTTCAAGATGTAATAAATGCTTTGAGGAAGGGAAGAGAGGCTAAATGGGACAGCAAATGATTCCAGACATGCGTGATCGGGGAAGACGGCTTTGCAGAGGGGACATTTGAGCTGTCGCCTAAATGGTAAGAAGGCATCTGTCATCTGAAGATGTGAGTGGAGGACGCTTCAGGCAGAAGCAGCCCCCAACTGGGGAAGTGTGATGTGTTCTAGGAAGAGAGACAAGACAGGTGTGGCAGAAGCCCAGTGAAGGATGGAGGAGTGGCAGGAGGAGAGGATAGGGACTCGATGAGGGTCAAGCCAGGTACACCCTACAGACCCAGTAACTCTTTTGATTTCTATACCAGCTGTGAGAGAAAGCAGTTAGAGAGTTTTAGGCAGAAATTTGATGGGATATGGTTTAAATCTAAACAAATCAATCTGCCTGCAGGATGGAGATGGGTTTTAACTAGAGCAAGAGTGGATGCTGGAAGCATCTGCTACGATAATCTACAATTATCTGCTACAAAATCCCACAGGAATGAGTGTTTAGAGTGGTATCTATGAACATGGTGAGAAGTGAGTAGGTCTGGAGTGTATTTTAAGGAAGATAGAGGCAACACAACTTGTTGGGAGGTTGTGGAATACCAAGGAGAGAAAAAATAAAATGGAATACACTCCTATAATTTGCCTGAGTACCTGGGTTGATACAGAAGACAAAGAGAAGAACTGGTTGGTGGCAGAAGACAAGATGCAAATGAAGAATTCTGTCTGGACACATTATACTATAGACTTCCAAGCAGAGATATTATCAAGGAAATTGCATGTACAAATCTGGAATGTAGTGATATGATCAAGATTTGGGAGGCAGAAGCTTTCATCTATGTTACTTAATTTAAGGCTATCGCCCAAAAGAGATTTTTTAAATGAGAGAGAAAAGATTTAAGATAGAGTCATAGGCTCTTCCAACGTTTAGAAGTCTGGCAAGTAGGGGAAAAACCATCAAGAGAGACTAAGAAAGAGCAGGAAAGAAGAGAACTAAGAAAATCCAGTGTCATGGTAGCCCAGGCAGAAAGTATTTCAATATTGTGGGCAGGTCCAACTGTCAAATCAAAGCAACAGGGAATGATCATGGACTTGGCAATATAGATGCCATTGGTGAAATGGACAAGAGCCCTTTCCATGGTGTAATGAGGACACACACCTGATTGGAGTGGGTTTGGGAAAGACTAAGAGGAGAAAGATTGGGGATAGCACAGAAAACCAATCATTTTGAGGGATATTGCCCTGAAGGGGAGAAGAGAAATGGGTCCATAGCTGGAGTGGCCATCAGGTTAAAGGGGGAGGATGTTTAAAGGTAGAAGATACTAGAGCGTGTTATATCCTGATGAGAATGATCTGAAGAAAAAGAAGAGTTTGAAGCTACAGGAGAACGAGGAGAAAATTACAGGAATGAAATCCTTGAGGCAGATTAGATCCAAAGAACAGGGAAAAGAATGAAAAAAGTAGAGAGGCAGAGTATGTGTGAAGAAAGCAGACAGGGTGTAGATTTTATGGCTGGGGAAACAAGCATTTCTCATCTTGTCACTTCTATTTTCTTAATGAAGTAAAGCCAGGTGGTTGGCTGAGACAAAGGGAAGCAGACAGTAAAGATTTGAGGAGAAAGGTGAAAATGTGAAATACTTGTCTCAGCAAGTTGGAGAGTTAATTGGCTAGAGATGTGTAGGAGGGTTTTCAGGAAGTCTTAAATGCCTTTTTGAAATTCATGGTCATTCATTAAAAGCAGCCCATTTAAACAACTTGTGTGACTTCAGGTTTTGCCCAGCAAGTCAATGAGTGTGGGTGATGTGGGGTATTTGGAGTCTGGGGTGGCTGGTGCCTTCCAGAGGAAACTGAAGCTAAGGGAGATTAATTACCTAACATTGTACATTCAGCGTGTACGTATAGGAGTGAGTTAGGATTTGCCCTAAGCTTCATCTGTCTCCATCCATTCTCTTTCCAAGGAAAAGGTGAAGAAGACACAGGGTACGAACAACTGAAGGTTCTATTTTCCCCTGGTAGTTTCCAGAGTAGGCTTAACTATTTTTGCTGAAACTAGACCTGCAAATTACCCATATGCCATTGCAGCCTCCTCCTAGAAGGTCAGTCTTTGAAAATGTTATCACAGCCCTGAACAATAGTCATTGTACACCTTGGTAATTCAAAGGCACTACATTACATTTTGTAAGAATCACATTTTGTTTAGTTTTCTCAGTTTAAAAAAACAAGGAAATAGTTCCATTTTATAAAGCATTTTACCCAAAATTAAGTTATAATATTTTTAAAATTTGTTTCTCAGAGGTGTAAGCTTATGAAGCAGATGACAATAAACTGGAAAAAGAAAGAAAGAAATAGGTGTGAGCTTAAATTGAATACCTTACTTCCTATCCCAGATCAGTGGACCACTGGATTCTCGAGGGAGCCAGGAATGCGGTGCCTAGGAGAAGAGCGGGTGGATGATATAGTGGCCAGAGCTACTGAGACAATGTAGACCTCAGAATGTCACACGGATTAACCTTTTGTCTCTACCGTCTTCAGCCCAGTTCTTTCGAGTGCCTTGAATTCCATCTTCAGCAAGTGGGACCTCCCGGTCTTCACGCTGCCCTTCAACATTGCAGTCACCTCGTACCTTGCAGCCACAGGCCACTACAACCTCTTCTTCCCCACGACACTGGTAGAGCCTGTGTCTTCAGTGCCCAATATCACCTGGACAGAGATGGAAATGCCCTTGGTAAGTTACCCAGTGGTGATGAGTTGAGACCCCCAGATTCCACCGCAGACCTTCTCACCAACCAATTTATGGATTACCCATGCTCCCAGCTTCTCTAGAAACGTCTCTACCAGATGATGGGTCTCACTGGAGTATCAGAAAAGGTTGCTGCCTCGTCCATAAATCCTTTCAACAAGTACTCATTAAACATGTAACATGGCCTGGGCACTTTTTCAGATACTAAGAATATAAGACAACGACATCCTGTTCTTAGGAAGCCTACATTCTACACAGGGAAACAGATCGTACACAAGTGAACAGATAAGTGTTAAGTTGACAGCACAGAATTGTGGTGGTTGAGTGAAAAATATTAGATAAAATATATAGTCAGATAAAGAGGAGAGACACTAAAATAAACATTTAAAATTGGAATTTTAAAGGCATTAGCATAGAAGACAGAGGGTGAATTTTGATACACTGTCAATCTCAGTGGTTCTCAGGCAGGGATAATTTTTCCCCTTAAAGACATTAGGCAATGCCTGGAGACATTTTTATTGTCAAGACCCGAGGGGTGTCCCTGACATCTAATGAGTAGGGGCCAGGGATGCTGCCAAACATCCTACGACGCACAGGACAGCTCCTCCCTGCCCCTGCAGAGAGGAATGCAAAACAAAGCGTCAACAGGGCCAAAGTGGAGAAACCCTGCTTTCTGTCCTGACATCATAAATGTCCGTATTCATTTATTCTGCTGATCTCTAGACACTGAGGATAGAGGCCTGTAATAAAAGCCTAATATAAGATTAATTATTTAGAGTTGTAACACTTTGGCCTTGTTAATGAACTTAGAGATAGCGAATAGCTAATACTTAACATACTTTCTATGTATCAGACACTGTCCCAAGCCCTTGACATATTAACTCATTTAGCCATCACATTATAACCTAATTCTGTAGGTATGATCATAATCCCTATTTTAAAGGTGAGAAACTAAGGCACAGAGAGGGTTAGTTGCCCAAGGTCCAATTGCAGATAGTGCCTTAAAACCCAGGCAGCCTGACACAAAGCCTAAGCTTTGAATCACCACCTGCCTAGTCCAAGGCAGGACACGTACCTGAGGCTTGAACAATCCCAGTGAGGCAAAATCCTCTGCTTCTCAGTGGAGTCCTCTCAGTCAGTGTTGTGGCATTCTTTACATTCCTCAGAAACCCATCTCCCTTTATCTTTCATCCATTGGTTCTAGCCTGCTTTCTAGAGTAATTCAGGATATTGTTTCTGTGATAGTCTTTTGAATATTAAAAGACGATCATAGGTGCTTAACAAATAGGAATTAATTAGGTCAGTGGTTCCCAAACTTTGCTGTACAGTGGAATCCCCTGGGAATCTTTAAACAAATACTGATGCCCAGCTCTTCCCTAGACATTCTGATTTAATTGATATGGGGCATGGCGGGGCCTCAGGTGAGTCTAGCATGCAATGGAGATTAGTTATAGATGATCTACTGTAGATGTTGGGAATAATTTAGTTTCTCTCTTTGGACCAAATCTTGTACTGTTTGAGAATTTGATTTAATTCTGGAATAAGTATGACATCATAACCTAAGTCCTCAAATATCGTTTGTGTGATAGGATGCTTGAGCAGTGCCGCTATCTAGGTGTGCTGCCACCTTAGTGTAGCCTGCTGCTGTGCTCAGCTCTGGACCAACCACTTCAGTGTCCTCCAAGGACAGCCACACTGTAAACCTAAACCCAGCAGAAAAGGAGATGCTCCCCAGCCCTCGTGGTTAACACTGCTGCAAACAATGCAAAACCTTTTCAAGTTGTGTCTGAGGCTCGGGCTGGAGCAGGCGTGGCAGGGTTAGGGCGTAAACCCAAGAAAATGGCAAAGACAGAGCCCTGCATTTAAGGGAATGCCCACCTTCTCAGGTGGAAAATGGCAGGGTCAGAGCAGGCACAACACTCAAAAGTCTGCCAGGAGCATCGGTGATGGGCCATCTGGCAATCAGTCCACATGCTGTCCCTGATCCCTATGCATAAGGTATTGCCAGAGTAACGGCCAAAGATACATGTGGCACCACCAGGAAGAAAGGCTCTCTGAACCCCGACTCCACGCTGCAAGGCCGGACAACCCAGCACCAAGGGGACCAGCGTGGTGAGGGTCATAGAAAAAAGAAGTCTCTTGTTCAACTTCAGAATAAATAGTTAGAAAGTGGTAGGACCCGGCCAGATGCAGTGGGTCGCACCAGTAATCCCAGCACTTTGGAAGGCCAAGGTGGACAGATCACCTGAGGTCGGGAGTTCGAGACCAGCCTGACCAACATGGAGACGACGTCTCCACTAAAAATACAAAACAATTAGCTGGGCGTGGTGGCACATGCCTATAATCCCAGCTACTCGGGAGGCTAAGACAGGAGAATCCCTTGAGTGGGAGGCAGAGGTTGTGGTAAGCCAAGATCGCGCCATTGCGCTTCAGCCTGGACAAGATGCTAAAATAAACATTTAAAATTGGGATTGTAAAGGCATTGGCATAGAAGACAGAGGGTTAATTTTAATTTTGATACACTCTCTATCTCAGTGGTTCTCAGGCAGGAATACAAGAGCATTTTTTGTTTGTTTTGTTTTGTTTGAGACAGAGTTTCCCCAGGGCAACAAGAGTGAAACTTTGTCTCAAAAAAAAAAAGAAAGAAAGAAAGTGGTAGGACCCAAACCTGGCGTCCTGAGGCCCATACCCACCCTCCTAATGCCCCACCAGCCCACCACTCTGACAACCGCGTTCCTTCTCTTGCTACCCTCTGAATCTGAGCTTTGGAGAATCAATGCCACTTCCCTCTTTCTCTTTGAAACAACAGGGAAGGATCTTCCTTTTTGTTTAACCAGCTTGTTGTTGCTATATAAGAATTATAAGGAGTGTGGAGAAGGCCCAGTGCTCAGTAAATTTCCATGGCACACCTGACTGCCCTTCACACCAGAGTGTCAACTGTGGCCTGGGACCAGTGTGCTAGGAGGGAAGGCCGCCCTGGGGCACAGCTCATCAGGCTGAAATACGGATCCCAGCAGAGGAAGCTTCATTCTAAACCCAGGCTCCATTCCAAGGAATCATTCCCTCATTCCTCTCATCCTTGACTGCTTGGGCTTAAAATCTGCATTCCCGGTTGGAAAGGTGGACGTGAACTCCCCTCAGCATCCAGCATTCCTCAGATGTCAGCAATCATGGGCTATTTATTAAGTAGGCTTCCAGCCTGTTCCTATCATTTAAGCTGAGTTCCCCAGTCTGGTACAAAGTGTTTTCTGGGTTCATATAAATATGACTGAGCACTCCCTCCCTTGCCTTTCCTTTCGCAAGTTTATAGATTCTGGTCCAGTGTTTGGTTATTAAAAGGCTATTCATTCAGAAACAAGAGTGGGCAAAGTTTAAGAGCCCTCTGGGCTCTTTAATACTACTCCCTGAAGAAATCATACTTATTCCAGAATTAAATCAAATTGTCAAAAAGTACAAATTTTCATCCAAAGGGAGAAACTAAATTATTCCCAGCATCTACAGTAGATCATCTATAACTAATCTCCACTGCATGCTAGACTCACCTGAGGCCCTGCTATGCCCCATATCAATTAAATCAGAATGTCTAGGGAAGAGCTGGGCATCAGTATTTGTTCAAAGATTCCCAGGGGATTTCACTGTACAGCAAAGTTTGGGAACCACTGACCTAATCAGTTCCTACTTGTTAAGCACCTATGATGTACCTGGGCATAAGGAGCCCTGTCCTCACAGAGGTCATGTGACCTGGCAATGGGGAAAAGAACTGCAGAGTCTTAAAACCGGCAAATCATCCGCCAAACCAGCCTCTTCATGTTACAGATGAGGCTGTGACAAGCTCACAGTCACACAATGAACTGTGCAGAGCCCTGCTGGAAGCTGGAGCTCTCCACTCCAGGGCCAGTACTCTACCTGCCCTGCCATTCCCCTTCCTTTCTTTTTCTGCCCTCGAAGGACTGCAAAAATATGGACAATTCAGCCTGGCCAGAGAAAGCCATCTGACAGCGCTGCCGAACAAATCCTCCCCAATTCCAGTACCACCAGGCTCAGGGACTTTTGGGCTTTAGGCCATTTTCCAGATGTGCCACATACTACCTTTCCACAATGTTCCACAGTCCTCAAGCGCAGGAGACATGCCTACTCCTCCTTTCCAAGGGCTCACAACCCCCAGGGTAGCAGTAAATGGGCAGGGGCCACCAAAGAGGACGTGTCAGCAGTGGCTTGACAAAGAGACAGCAAGGGTGACAAAGACCTCAGACCTCAGCTAGGGGTCAAGCTCAGAGCCTCTAGCCTACACTTGGCTACCAACAGGCTGGGTGCCTTTTAGTTAAATCATACATCCATATGGCCTAGTATATTTTCAATATCCCTAGAATATTTCTATGGATTTCAGAAGGTCTAGAGGAAATCCCCCAGAGCCCTGAAACTTCCAATGGCATTCTAGGGAGGAGGTACATTCCAGTCCCGTCAAAGCAGAAGCCATATGTTCCTCAGAAGCATCCATGCCCAGCCCATGTTGGGGGACCTGGCTTTGTATGAGGGGTGCTCAGATGCCTGCTGGGTGATGGAGTGAGGAGCTGTTTGTTCCAGCTCATGCCTCCCATGTTCTCTCACATGCCGGAGGGTGCAATCATCCTCCCGTTCCACTCCATTACTCCCTGAGGAATGGCTCAAATCTGGCCCAGAGTCTGGTTTTTGCGTTATTGGCCCATGCTCCAGTAACCTGTATTCTGTTACCTTTGCAGCTGTTACAAGCCATCCCTATTGGGGTCGGCCAGGTGTATGGCTGTGACAATCCCTGGACAGGCGGCGTGTTCCTGGTGGCTCTGCTCATCTCCTCGCCACTCATCTGCTTGCATGCAGCCATTGGCTCAATTGTGGGGATGCTAGCAGGTAGGACAGAGCTCCTTCCTCTTCACGTCCTCAGGATAATTCACTCGAGATCACTTTTCTCCCACATACAGCAAATCTTCCAGACATTCTCTTCCCCAGAGTTTTAAAATACTTTCAGGGAGACAAGCACGGTGGCTCACGCCTGTAATCCCAGCACTTTGGGAAGCCAAGGAGGATGGACTACCTGAGGTCAGAGCAAAACCCCGTCTCTACTAAAAAAACAAAACAAAACAAATACAAAAATTAGCTGGGCTTGGTGGTGGGCACCTGTAATCCCAGCTATTTGGGAAGCTGAGGCAGAAGAATCACTTGAACCTGGAAGGTGGAGGTTGCAATGAGCCAAGATCATACCACTTCACTCCAGCCTGGGTGATAGAGTGAGACTCCATCTCAAAAAAAAAACAAAACAAACAAAAAAAAAACACTTCCAGGAGTGGGGATTTTTTTTTTCCTTTTCTGAGTCAGACTGCAGAAGCAGGACATGTGGAGAGAGGCAAGGGGATAAAGATTGAGTTGGCCTGCAAACTGAGCCCGTGAAGCTGAGGGTGCAGGACGGACACAGGGTGGGGCAGGGGCAGTCACCAGCACCAACTGTGGTATATTAATAAATGGCCCAGCACTTTGAAACTTTTGGTAAGATACAAGGAAAATTGTTCTCAAACATTGGCTTGCCATTTGACACATGTGACTGAATATTTCTACCTGTGTATATGTATGTACACGCATTTACATAGGTAATTGCTCTTTCTGACAACAGAGTCAGAGATTAGGGTAGGAGCATTGGCAGAAGGAACCGGTTTTAGACTTCTTCCAAAACTTTTCAAAGATTTTTTGGAAGTAAAACTTTTTAAAGTATTTTTTTATTTGGAAATAATTTTCAACTCATCAAAAAATGGTAAAAATAAAAATAATATGAGGCACCTGTACATTGCTTCCTCACTGTCCACGTCTTACTCCTGCTGTATCATTCATCTATCAACATCTAACCACATGTGTGTAGAAATATTTTTCTGGATTATTTGAAACAGAACTTTTAAAAAATATTTGTTTAAATCTTCACACCTTTTTGGAATCTTTCTTGCTCAGACTGCAGTTGCTGGGGTCAAAGGAGTAGGAAGGGGCCTAGAATCCCTTCTCCTTGCTCTTCTCACACAGGAGGAAGCAGTCAGACCTCCAAGTGAAGCTTGTGGCTTTGATAAATGGTTTGGAAACCACTGTTCTCTTCTCATTGAAGGTCTCCTAAGACAAGATGCCATTTGTAGAGGCTTTTTTGATGGACAGGTTTGGAGGTGTGGGGTGAACAACAGCATGGAGGCCACCCTGAGACCTAGCACCAGCCACAGGGTGGTCTTTGTTCTGTGGCCTGAAATCAGACAGAAATACCACCCCTTGTCCCACAGCCCTGTCAGTGGCCACGCCCTTCAAGACCATCTACACAGGCCTCTGGAGCTACAACTGCGTCCTCTCCTGCATCGCCATCGGGGGCATGTTCTATGCCCTCACCTGGCAGACTCACCTGCTGGCCCTCATCTGTGGTAGGTGTTCAGAAAAGCTGACAACCAGGTCACTCTAACTATGTCTTCTCCCCTTGTTTATGTGAAACCCATGGTGACCACTAAGCAATGCTTTTCAGCAGTGACAGAAAGGCCAACGGCTTGCATCCTAACACCAGTGCTGCCCTGAACACCTGGGGAGTTCAGGTTCCTTTTCTGTCCAATGGGATCACAGCCACCTCACGGTGTTATACTTACACAGTGTTGTCAAGTTTATAAGGAAATCACATATACATTTCCTTGTGTGCTAGTGACAGCATTCTCTCTATAACTCTTCATTCAACAACTGTTTACACAGCACCACCAAGTGCCAGGACCTAGTCTAGGCATAGAAGATATCATGGTGACCACATCCTCATGAAGCTACAGTCTAGGAGAAGAGAAGTAATTGCACAAATAGTTATTAAGGCTGCAGCATCCATAAAGGTTGTTGGAACGATCCAGTAAGGTGATGTATGAGGAGCACTAAAAATCATAACAACGTTATGGAAGCTCGATTTCCATGGAGTGAATAGAGAAGATGCTGCCAGAAGGGAAATCAGGCATGGTCCTTCTCATATACCTGTATCCCAGCACCTGACCCTGTTATATAAATATATGAACTCACTTAATCCCCCCAAGAATACCACCAGGCATAGCCTGTCTGGCCCATTTTACAGATAAGGAAGTGAGACTCAGAGGGGCTAATTAACTTGCCCTAGAATATAGCTGTTAATAGCAAAAGGGAGAGTCAACCCAGCCCCAGCTTCCCACCAGTTTCCCCTCCTGGCGTTGTTTTCTGGAAGCAGGACGGGACATTAATACATAAAACTGGAGTCAAGGAAACAGAAGAATAGCATCTGGAACAGCTTCTCTTTTGTTTTTTTCCCACTTATGCATGGAGACTGAGAATGACTTCCATATCCTTTGTACCCCCTCAGCAGCCAGCATGAGGCTGGGCATGGAGACAGGGGGCCCCATAAATATTTGTCAAGTCAAAAGTGCCTGCTGTTTTAAGTTCAGACTGTAACTGCCTTTGGCCTTCAAAGAAGTGGCAGATTCCAGTGGCTGGAACCATCTGGGAAGCCTACAGGGGGAGGCTGGGGTTTATCTCAGTACTGCTGGTAGGATTTGAGTTGGCAAAGACAGGGAAGAGGTGTTCTGGACAGAGAAGGAGAAAGGGCAAAGCTGCAGGGCAGAAGGAGCTTGTCTAGAGGCACCAGCTACGTGGACGAGCTCTCCTGACTGTCCTCAGGACACAGCTCCCATGAGGGAACCCAGCTACCTGGCTGCCAGGTACTGGTTCAGGGACCCAGTAAGGTTCAGCCCTAGTGAGACCCAGTGAGCATCAAGCAGCATCACAGCTGTTCAGAGTCTTGAATAGGAGGGACCTTGGCAAGAGTGCATATAGTCTGACCACTCTTCCCCAACAACAATCATCCAGCCTGTGCGAGCTCATCCCTACCATCAGCATAGACAAGCAAATAGGGTTTATTGACCCCTGACTCTGTGCAAGGCCACTGTGGAAGCAGGAAGGGGACAAAAGGAAATATAAGTTTTAATATCTGACTGAAGAATGTGCAGTCTGGTGGGAGACAGGCCTCACCTATCTTCAGAGATAACTAATACCAGGCAAGTTTCCCAGATGTCAGGTCATGGTGCAGAATCTGAGGCTGCAGGAGACAGGGCAGGACTCTCGTTCCTGGCATGGGCTCTCTGTCCTGCAATAGCAGTGGCTTAGTGGGAAGGCTCTGGGAAGCTGACTCTGGTGATCCGTGTTTCTCCACAGCCCTGTTCTGTGCATACCTGGGAGCAGCCATCTCCAACATCATGTCACTGGTAAGTGTGGATTCTCCTGAACACTACCCCAAAATGCTCTTCCCTAACCAGAGCTTCTGGACATATGGAGTTTTGGGATCTGGCAGTAGAACACTGCAGGAGTAATGGTAGCTGGTACTCACACAATGACTCTGTCAAGGTTTACCTAAGGTTGTCCAGAGAAGGATTGACAATTGCACACATGTACCTCTAGGGGAGGGAGTTGTGTGTGTCTGTGTCTGTCTGTGTGTGTGTGTGTGTGTGTGTGTGTGTGTGTGTGTGTGTGTGTGTGTTGAAAGAATGCAATGTAACTAGCCATGGAAAACACAGACAGACAGATGGAGCCATGTGGCTGGATATGGGAGAGCATCCTCAGGCCAATTTTCAGCTCCATCATTGAACTATTCTGACAGCACCTCAAATTACTTGTTTTGTTTTGTTTGCTTTGCAAGACAGGGTCTCACACAGTTGCCCAGGCTGGAGTGCAGTGGTGCAATCTTGGCTCACTGCAGCCCCTGCTTCCTGGGACTCAAGCCATCCTCCCACTTCAGCCTCCCAAGTAGCTGGGACTACAGGCATGCATCACTATGCCCAGGTGTCTTTTGTATTTTTTTGTAGAGATGAGGTCTCACTTTGTTGCCAAGGTTGGTCTGGGCTCAAGTGATCCTCCCTCCTTGGCCTCCCAAAGTGCTGGGATTACAGGCATGAGCCACTGCACCCAGCTCCAAATTCTTTGACCAACTACTGTGACATTCTGAATCCAGGAATATCAATACCTTCACTGGAGGAAGGATCTCCATCCTCAACGCCTGTTGCATCCTTCTCCCCCGGGGTTGCCAGCCCAACACAGGAAACTAGAAACATCCTTCCGCACCCTCCTGCAATGCTTTTGTTTCCAGGTAGGCGTGCCACCAGGTACCTGGGCCTTCTGCCTTGCCACCATCATCTTCCTGCTCCTGACAACCGACAACCCGGCCATCTTCAGGCTCCCACTCAGCAAAGTCACCTACCCCGAGGCCAACCGCATCTATTACTTGACAGTGAAAAGCAATGAAGAAGAGAAGGCCCCCAGCGGTGACTAGCCCTGTTCCAGGAAGAAATGCTCTTTGCCTGACGTGGTGTCTGCTCCCTGTATTCTCAACTCTGGTTCAATCAGCTGCAGCACTCACCTTCTTTGCCTCTCCTTGCCCCTGTGTAGAATCAAGCACATCTATAACTTTCTTTCCCTGAAGCTGATTTTCATTCTCTGCCCAAATCTCCATAACTACCTATTGTGAGACATTAAGGGAAGTTGGTGTTACAGTAAGGTTGCTGGAGTTAGCAATAAGGAGTGTGTCTTAAATGTTGTTGACTTAAAAACAGTAGTCATTTGGAAAGGTAATTAACAGGTGATCTTCTTGGCATGTTAAACTAAAATTAAATTTATTGAGTGGTTCCTAGGCAGACACAGAGTTGGGAGTAAAGTCAGGGGACACAGGCTAGGAAGGGAAGGCTCTCTTAGTGGCTGAGCTAGAGGCTAATGACCACAAAGAGAGGAATTTCACACTGATGGAATTTTAAAGTCAAAACAGGGACAATTGGGGCATGGAAGTATATAAATTAGAAGTCTGGAACATTCAGTGGTCTTCGTAAGGGGCAGGTGATAGTCCATAGCAGGGAGGAATTGATAAATTAGAATCCTATATGTGACTTCAATATGGAGGATAAGCATTTCTTGGTTTAGGTCAAACCAGCATCTCTTTTTTTATTTAGTTTTTTTTTTTTTACTTTAAGTTCTGGGGTACATGTGCAGAATGTACAGGTTTGTTACATAGGTATACATGTGCCATGGCGGTTTGCCGCACCTATCAAACCATCAACTGGGTTTTAAACCCCACATGCATTAGGCATTTGTCCTAATGCTTTTCCTCCCCTTGTTCCCCACCCTGTGAAAGGCCCCAGTGTGTGATGTTCCTTACCTTTGTCCATGTGTTCTCACTGTTGAACTCCCACTTATCAGTGAGAACATGCGGTGTTTGGTTTTCAGTTCCTGTGTTAGTTTGCTGAGAATGATGGCTTCCAGCTTCATCCATGTCCTTGCAAAGGACATTAACTCGTTCTTTTTCATGGCTGCATAGTATTCCATGGTGTATATATGCCATCTTTTCTTTATCCAGTCTATCACTAATGGATATTTGCATTGATTCCAAGTCTTTACTATTGTATATAGTGCTGCGATAAACATACATGTGTATGTGTCTTTGGAGTAGAATGATTTATAATCCTTTGGGTGTATACCCAATAATGGGATTGCTGGAACAAATCAAACCAGCATCTCTAAGCAGAGATTTCAGTTTTAAGGAAAGTACTTGAGTTCCGTGTGTAAAAAGCTTGGGAAATTTATTTCATGTTTCTATTTGCTTGTGCGCATGGGAAGCTTTATGAAGTGTATTATATTTAAAACAAATCAATAGCCCTGACTATAGAAAGACAAACAGTTATCTATGAATTTCATAATTTGATTTCCCAACTATAGTCAATAGCTTTCATTTGGTCTTTAAGTATATATATAGATCAAGATTCAGCAAACTTTTTCTGTAAAGAGCCAGATAGTAAATATTTTCTCCTGGGAGACCATATGTTCTCTTTGGCAAAGTCTTAACTCTGTCGTTGTAGCATAAAAGTAGCCATACGCAACATGTAAACGAATGAGTATGGCTATGTGCCAATAAAACTTTATTAAACAGGCAGTGAGGTAAATTTGGTCCATAAGCTGTAGTTTGCAGATCCCTGATAGAGACAGTCAACATCCTAATGCTTACAAACTGGTAGGCAGAGCACAGGCCCAAATGGACACCACCAAGTCCCTTGCCACAGGCATAGCAAAGGGGTTTTACATGCTGGGTGATGGTAGGAAAACCCTCAGGAAATGAAGGACATCCAGAAAAGTGAGTAACATGACTGGAATCAGGAGGACCTGCTCTGGGGCTACCAGAGAACTGGAAGACCCAGTGATGTGCACTAAGGGATGCAGTTTTAAACCAAGACCTGCCTTCCACATTGTCTGGGAATTATTTCTAAGGCTCACTCTTCTCTAACCTCTCACTGTGTTGTTCTCCATCTGCCAGAAAGCACAGCACCCTTGAACGAGGAAAAAATGACTCTTCAGTGCTGGACTTTCCCAAACAGAAAGGACAGGCAGGTTCAGAGAATCCCAAGGTTGGAAGGGTGTGTAGAGATCAGGTGGTCCCATTCCATGCTGCATGAAAACCTCTATAATTTGGATGAGGGCTTCAGTTCTCTGCCAGGCTTCCAGAAGGGGTTCAATTACCCAAAATGGAGGTGAGACTCCCAAAGCATTTTAACAACAGATAACCAGAACCAGAGATCCCATTCATTGCCCTGGAAAAATCCCCTCCTGTCTTCATTAAGCCCTATGAGGCTGTCCACCCAAAGCATTGGATCTCACTGGGAACTGTCTTTTAGCCATGCTTACTGGATCCCTAGGAAAGGAAAACTATTTGGATGTAAAAAATTATTTCAGCTGACTTGGACAAGATTATCTCTTTCTTTTCATATCAACTCCCCCCATCTCCCCGATCCCCACCAACTCTTCACCTCATCTTATGAAACTAGAGAGCTCCTGGAGTGATCCTGTCCCACCTTCCCCAGGACTTCCCCACCACATCCACCTGCTGAATGAGGAGGTCAAAGATCTCTAAACGTACAGATTCACAGCACTAACATGAGGTTGCATTGGAGCAGGCCACCATGAAAGAAGAAGGGCTTAGGGACACATATTCTGGCAGTTTTTCTACCATCACCCAAAACTACCAGCAATAGCTCTGGTTGTACAAATGATAGTGTCTATGTTGAACATAAATATGCAACCATTACGATGTGTCTGTCTGGAGAGAAAGGGACTTTAGAGGAGTCTGTGTCTCAAACTCTTCTCCTGTCACACCTGCCTTCCACCCTCCTTCTCCCAGCCTTCTCATCTCCTCTTCCTCTGCTCTCCCCAACACTTTCTCCCATTTTTATCTCCTCTCATACAACACTGATGAATTCTATCAGCCGTAACAGTCTTGTCCTGCTGCACTTTAAAATGGCGGATCTTAAATCGTCTTTCTAATTTCTTCAATAATTGACATAGTTAAGTTCTATACTTCATCTTGAGTCCAGATTGAGCATTTGTTTGCGAAGATATCATCCATTTTCTTTAGCTTTAAATGTTTGTTGACATGGAGTTACTTATAATGTTCTCATAATCTCAATCTCTCCTGTATGCATGGTTTTAACTCCTTCTCATTTCTAATCTTACATCATTTTGTTATCTCTTTTCTTTAATCAGGTTTGCCAGGGGTTCATTAATTTTACTGACTTTTTCAAAGAAGCAATTTTGGATTTATGTGTAACCTTTCTACTTGTTTTGGTTTGTTTTCTATTTATTTTTCCTGTTTTCTTATGGTTCATTTAAATGTTATTTTCTAATATTTTAAAATTGATGTCGGATTCCTTCATTTTAGGTCTTTCTCTTTTAACAGCAAAGCCCACAGCTCTTAATTTTCTCCTGAGTACAACTTTAGCTGGGTACTATAGGTTTTAGAATAAAGAAGTCTACATTTCTCATTTTTTAATAGTTTATAATTTTTATTTTTATTTCTCTTTGGTTGTTTGAGGATTATTTAATAACACATTTCTTAATTTCTAGCATTTAGGAATCTTTTGATTTTTTTAAACTTTCTATATGCAGTTTTATTGGATTATGAGCAGAAAATATGGCCTGTAAAATTTTTATCTTAAAATTGTGTGAATGTTTCTTGGTTGCCAAGTCGCTGATTGATTTTGGACACATAAAATTTAACTTTTTACTTCGAAAGAAATACATATTAAATTGATTTGTTGTATTATTCAATTTCTCTGTTCTTATTTTTTTTTTAATTTAGGATTTTAATTCTGAAAAGGATTTGTTTAAAATCAACTATAATTGTACAGTTTTATTAATTTCTCTTTGCATTTCTAAAACATTTACCTCAGATGATTAGTTATCACATTGTTTAATGCCTATTAATTTATGACAACCATTGATTCTTCATAAATTTTGCCTTTTATTACAAATTACCCTGTTTATTCTAGTTAGTGCTTTTAACCATCACTCCAACTTAACCAATATTAACATTGTTGTACCTTATATCTTTCCGATATTTTCTTATCCCTTTGTTTTAACCTTTATCATTTCTTTTTAATTTTTAACTCATTGTTTACTTTTAACTGTATTCCTTAAAAATAACATGTAGCAATGTTTCAATGTTCCACGTTTTTAATCTAATCTCAGTGTTTCTATAATTTAACAGGTTAACCTCTTCCCATCTTGCGTAATAACTAATATGCTAGTTTTTTTCTTTCACTTTATTTTTTACTGTTCATTTTTCTTTGCTGTTTGGTTTTTTCATTTTTCTCATTTTACAAGTTTGATCATGTTACTACCTTTCTTTCTTTCTTCCCTTTGTTAATTTGGAAGGTCTACTGTTGTTTTCCATTCTCCTAGTGGTTATTGCCCCTTTTCCAACACTCATAATCAAAAGCATATTTCTCTCTTATTATATAAAAACAACATGAAAAATACTTTTCCCTGACAAGATACCCCATTTCTCCAATGATCTTTCCCTACCCTGAGGAACTAAGGCCCCTGAAATAATTTCACTATTCCCCTCCCCAGTGCTCCAGTCCCTAAAATGTGTTTACTTTTCCAGCCACCACCCACTCCTAAATTGTGCTAAGATCATTTATGATTGTTAATAATTTTCCCCTTGCAATATGCCCCTTTTTTCACAAGAATTCTTACGGAGCCTCTACATCACACATTCCCAGCAATTCCATCATCCATTTGGAGTTTACTATTCGTATTGAATATTTACCTTTTGTTACTCTTTCCTCTGTTCTTCCACTGTCTTGCTATCTCTGTTCCAATTCATTTATTACTTGTTTAAAACTCTTGTAATTTTTTCAAGTAATATGAAAAAATATGGTGACCTATTCTTTGACCCTCTGCATGTCCACGGAGCTTCTTACCCCAGCAAATGAGCAACATTTTG